TCATATATGGATTTTAGACATGGATCAGGGGAGTGCCAGCCTACAATTCCACTGCCAGAGAGTCTGGGAAACAGGAAAGAACCTAAGAGAGGTATGCATGGTACTCCAGAGAAGGGGAATGAAGCAAGGTCTCCTGAGCAGATTGGGAGTAGGGGTGGGAAGGAGGGGGAGCTGGGAAAAAGAGAGGGAGAGAAGAGGAGGGGAGAGGAGGACATGGGGGAGCAGGAAGATTAAGTTAGGGGAAGCATAGGGGAGAACAGGATGAGGAAATCATTATAGGTTTGAAGAGAGATCTTGCACCAGTGAGATCTCTAGCGATCTATAAGGATGACATCAACTGGCAAACTAAGCAATAGTGGAGAGACTACCTTAAATGCCCATCCCTGATATTGAGATTGACAACTACCTTATATGCCATCCTAGAACCTTCATCCAGTGACTGATGGAAGCAGAAGCAAACACCCACAGCTAAACACTGAACTGAACCCCTGGAACCCAGTGACAGAGAGGGAGGAGTGATGAGCAAAGGGGTCAAGACTGGGCTGGTGAATCCCAGAGAAACAGCTGATCTGAACAAAGGGGAGATCTTGGACCCTAGACCAACAGCTGGAGGCCAGCATGGGACTGATCTAGATCCCCTGAATGTGGGTGTCAGTGAAGAGGCCTGGACAATCTATGGGACCTTAGGCAGTAGATCAGTATTTATCCCTGGAATACAAATGAACTTTGTGAGTCCATACCACAAAGAGGGATGCTCTCTCAGTCTGGACCCTTGGGAGAGGACTCTGGATATCCCCTATGAAGAAGGGAGTGGGGATAGAGTGGGAGACTGGGGGAGCTGGGGAGAGGTGCAGGAGGAGGAGAGGGAGAGGGAGCTGGGATTGACATGTGAAGCAAGTTTGTTTCTAATTTTAAAACATGTAATAAATAATAATAAAAATGATGAAGAGATGCAGAGCTCGTTTCTGTAGAAAGGAGTTAACTGTCTTGCTCCCCCAAAACCCAAGTAACAAATCACTAAGAATTATGTGTAACATGTCACTTCACCAAGAGCCACAGACGGCTATTTCTTTTTTTCCAGCTACATTGCAAAGCCAAAGACAGACCATCACATTTGAGCAGTAACGTCAAGTAGTTTGGACATGACCATGACAATCTGCTAAGCTGAGTCCCTATCTTCTTCAGTGATAGATGAAGTGCTTCTAACTGTACCTTCTCAGCTAACGGTTACAAAAACGTTTTGTTTACATGACTAATGGCTGAGATCATGACTTTCACTCTTAGCAAATCCCTAAATAAGGTCTTCCTGACAAGTATTGAGATCTGACCTTAAATTGATTACTTCCTGCACCAGCCTTTTTGGTTAGTTGGTTGTTTTTTGGTTTTTGTCTTTTTTTGTTTGTTTGGTTTTGGTTTTTTTTTTTTTTTTTTTTTTGAGTCAGGATTTCTCTGTGCAGCCCTGACTTGCTCTATAGACCAGGCTGGCCTCAAATTAAGAGAGTCACCTGCCTCAACCTTCAGGGTACTGGGCCTAAAGGCATGTGTCCTATACCCAGCCTGGACCAGCTTTTAAGGAAAGAAGTCCATTATGTTAAAGAGACTGCTCAACGGTCCACAAAGGTCAGTTCGGTGACAGCAGGATCATGACCAATATCTTTACCAGCCAAGGTAGGATTCTTTAGTACCAGGTATCAAGGCGACAAACAAAAACTTAGTGTACTAAAAGGCATTTATTCTTTACTTAAATAATTTCACAAGTTTGAGGTAGAAATCTGGTCACAATAAGTCAAAATTTGACTGTGAGGTCAACTAAAAATAGCAAATAGAAGTATTCTTCTACAATGGTGCAGTTTCAAGAGAAGTATTTTTGTGTTCACATAAGAAAGACATTTTAAAGGAGAAGCAAGGGGCTGGGGTGCAGCTCAGTTGGTAGAGTGCTTGCCTGGCATCCGTGAAAGCCCCGGGTTCCACCCCTAGGACCACCTAGACTGAACGTGGTTGTGCAGGCCTATAAACACAGCGCTCACGAGGCGAAAGCAGGTCAATCAGGAACTGAAGGATGGCGGATCAGCTGGCAGCAAGCCACAGCTTAGAGCTTCCCCATCGCCTTTTGGGAACAAGGTTGCAGAGCAGCAGAGGAGAGCTGGTCTCCCAGTGGGAACAGTGGAGCAGCTGGTGACACAGGCCAGACTCCTCATTCTGTCTTGTAATCATCATACACTGATTTTGATATTAATAATCGCCAGACTTCCCTCATTATGTGGCGACCCACATTGGACATCAGATGTAAATTGAGGCATTTGTTTCCTGGCCTTCCAGTTCCAAAATAATCACACAGAGGCTTAATATTAATTACAAACTGCTTGGCCTATAATTCAGGCTTATTACTAACTAGCACTTACATTTAAATTAACCCATTTCTATTAATCTTTGTATTGCCACAGGGCTATGGCTTTTACCAGCCTTTTGGCATCTTGTTTCTTGAATGGCTGGCTTGCATCCCCAACTCCAACCTTTCTCGCCTAGCTATATTCTGCCTTGCTATAGGCCAAAGCAGCTTCTTTATTAACAAATGAGAGCAACACATATTCGCAGTGTTGCTATCCCACAGCATTTGTTGAGACAGGGTTTATCTGTGTAGTCTGGCTGTTCAGGAGCTGACTCTGTAGACCAGGCTGGCCTTGTACTCTGCCTGCCTCTGCCTCCCAAGTGCTGGGACTGACAGCTGCTCCACCACTGCCCAGCAGAGATGCATTATTCAATCAAGCACTCCATAAATTGAGGAAGAATATCTGGAACCCAGGAATTCAAAGCCAATTTGGGGTACATAGGAAGACCTCCCTCCTTTCTCTTAAGATTTTCTTTTGAACATTTAAGTGTTTCCCAGTCATTTGAGATTCTTCTACTGAGAATTGTTCAGATCTGTACTCCATTTTCAAATTGGATTATTTGATTTGTTGATGTCTAGTTTCTTACAATATATATACATAATTAGCCTGCTACCAGATGTGTAGTTGGTAAAAATCTTCTTCTATTCTGTAGGCTGCTGTTTTGTCCTACTGACAATATCCTTCGCCTTTCAGAAGCTTTTCAGTTTCATGAGGTCCTATTTGTTAATTGTTGATGTTAGTGCTGTGCTATTGATGTTGTTATGGAAGTTGTTTCCTGTACCAATGCATTCAAGGCTGTTCCCCACTTTCTCTTCTATCAAGTTCAGGGTATCTGGTTTTATGTTGAGGTCTTTGATCCACTTGGACTTGAGTTTTGTGCAGGGTGATAAATATGAATCTGTTCGCATTCTTCTACATGAAGACATCAAGTTAGACCAGCACCATTTATTGAAGATGCTTTCTTTTTCCCATCATGCATTTCTGGCTTCTTTATCAAAAATCATGTGTCCATAGGTGTATGGATTTATGTCTGGGTCTTTGACTCAATTCCATTGATAAACATGCCTATTTTTTAGCCATCAGTAAAATAGAAATCAAAATTGAGAGACCATCTTACACCTATCAGACTGGCTAAGATCAATTACACAAGGGACAGTTCATGCTGGAGAGGATGTGGAGCAAAGGGAACACTCCTCCATTGCTGGTGGGAGTACAAACTTGTACAACTGCTATGGAAATCAATATGGCCGTTCCTCAGAAAACAGAATTGATCTACCTCAAGACCCAACTATACTGATCTTGGGCATATACCCCAAAGATGCTCCATCCTACCACAAGGACACTTGATCAATTATGTTCATAGTGGGTGGCTTTATTCATAATAGCCAGAAACAACCCATCTGATCTTCAATCAATAAAGAAAATGAGGTACATTTACACATGGAGAATTACTCAGCTGTTAGAAAAAATATCATGAAATTTGTAGGCAAATGAATAGAACTAGAAAAAGATATCATCTTGAGTTATGTAACCCAGAAAGACAACCTGATCAGTGCTGAGCCCAACCATCATCAGAGAGGCTTCCTTTGGCAAGAAGGGATCAGATGCAAAGACCCACAGTCAAACATTAGATGGAGCTTGAGGAACCCAAGAGGGGAAGAAAGGATTGTAGGAGCCAAAGGGATCAAGGTCACCAGGAGAACATGGTCCACAGAATCAACTAAGCAGGGCTGATAGGGGCTCACAAAGACTAAAGCGACAATCACAGAGCCTGCATGGTCCTCTGCATGTTATGGTTGTTTAGCCTGGGGTTTTTACAGGACTCTTAACAGTGGGGATAGAGGTGTCTCTGACTCTTTTACTGCTCTTGGGACCCTTTTCTTCCTACTGAGTTGCCTTGTCCTGCCTTGATTTGAGGATTTGTGCCTAGTCTTAATTGCAACTTGTTATACCATTTTCTGTTGATATCTCTGGGTAGCCTGCTCTTTCTGAAGGAAAACAGAGGATTAGTGGGCCTGGGAGGGGTGGAGGGATGGGAAACTGTAGTCGGGGTTATTGTGTGAGACAAAAATAAATAAAGAGTGTGTGTGTGTGTGTGTGTGTGTGTGTGTGTGTGTGTGTGTGTGTGTATTTCTCAGAGGCCAGAAAAGGAAATCAAAGCCAGTCCTCTGTAAGAGCAACAAGTGCTCTTACCACTGAGCCATCTCTCCAGCCCCAGGATTCCATATTTTAAAAATAAACACAACCCAGGGGTGAAGTTTGGGGACTTTTATAAATGAACCATGTGAGAAGCCATCACATGAGCACTTTCTGGTTTAGACCGCCCACTCCAGTCCTTCACCTGGACTCCATACACACATAAGCTTCCTAGGAAAGGCACAGGCTGAAAGCAATCCCTCCCTCCTCATCCCCCTGAAGATTAACCATCGCAGCTCTCTCTGCTCAGAATCAAGCAGTTTCCTTTCTCATCTTCCCTTATTCTTCTCCAAACTGCCTGGGCCTGTGGCAAGACAAGGCTCACACTGCCCCCTGCTGCCCAGTGACATATTCTCTCTTCCTTGACAACCTTTAGCTCCCACTTGAAAAAAGAAAAGCAACAGAATACCCCCACAAAAGTCAAATGTCTTTATTTTATATATAAAAAAAATTTGTACAGTTTTAGTTCCTATGTTTAAGAAAAAATCCCTAAAATTGCCATAATGTTTAATCCACTGCAAACTGTAAAAACAAGCTTTTTATATATTAAAAAAAAATTTACATTTTACAATTTTCTACATGCATGCACAAGGTCTCAGCTCTGTAACCAAGAAAAAGGAAAGACAGAGAGAGAGAGAGAGAGAGAGAGAGAGAGAGAGAGAGAGAGAGAGAGAGAGAGAGAGAGAGAGAGAGAGAGAGGAAGGAAGGAAGGAAGGAAGGAAGGAAGGAAGGAAGGAAGGAAGGAAGGGGAAAAAAGGAATAAAAAAATCTAGATCCAACAATGGAAAATTCTACATTTACAATCTCACGTGGAAGAGACTCAAGAAGCCCCTTCTTTATGCACACAGAACAAATTACAACAATCACACATCAGAACAGAGTCCATCAGTAGATGTTGCCCCACAGGAAGGACAGAGGGAGGGACAGAGACTGACAGACACCAGGAAGGGACAAGGCAGAGCCAGGTCCAAGCAACAGGGAAAGCACAAACCCTGGGCAACAGACATTTGGAGTGAGGACGTCCCTGGAATCCTGCCTCCCTGTCTTTATTAAATCAGGGTTTACAATGGAAATGCTGTGGCTGGCTAGGAGCAAACGCGTAAGGGAAGAGATGGAAGGAAGGGGGAAGAAGTGAGAGAGACTGAAGGGACATAAATAAAGACAGAGAGAACAAAGACACATATGTAGGAGAAACTAGAAAGGGACAATGGGGACAATGACAGAGTGGCGAGGTAGGTGAAGGACTGAGGCACGGTGTCCTGGTGTGGAGGGAAGAGAGGTAAGCACTGCAAGGTCATCAACACAAAGGCCAAGCTGTGCAGTGGGGACGAGCTAGGATGCCACACAGACAGAGAAACAAGTGCACTGCAGAAGCCCAGCACAGCGTCCCCTATGCGATGGCGTTGGGCTGGGTAGGCACATTCCTACAGTGGAAGAACAGAAACCGAGTGAGAGCTGGGGCAGGACTGGGGTGGGGGGGGAGCTGCTCAGAGGAACTGAGTCAGCTGCCCACCCACAGCGGTTCACAGCATGAAGACAGTGTCCTATTCTGGAGAAGCAAAAGACAGACACACAGACACACATCTCTCTTCTCTCTCTCTCCCTCTTACACGCACACACGCGCACACACACAAACACACACACACACGCATGCACGCACACACACATGCATGCACGCACGCACGCACAGAGCTATACACTTGACGATTCATCCTGACATTTTAAAACATAATAACAACCGAAGTAGACAAAGATACCACAGTTCTGACACAAAGGACCAAAACGCTACCATTCTTAGTCACAGCCCTTAGTGCCTAGACAGAGTCAGGGAAATTTTTTCTCTTCGTTGTTAGGGAAAAGGAATGAAAATATCACAGTGATTAAAAAACATGGCAGGTTCTTAAAATAAACACTCCCGTGCCCCTAACCCTAGGGCATCAACTAAGATGCCAAATATTTTCCTTCTGCCCACCCCCGCCCACTGCTCAAACGAACAACCACACCCCATTCTTGCCCACAAAGGCAGCAACTCCAATCACCATCCAGGCCCTGCTATTCCAGGACAGTGAGGTATTTACGTGACCCAAAAAGGACTCCTCTGAAACCTGATTTTCTTCCTTTTTTTTTTTTTTTTTTTAAAGAAAAGATACCTTCCCATGACTAAGTACAGATTTATATCACTGGAATCTACCCAGGAACCTCTACCTCAGCCCTAGGCTCACCGTGAGGCCCTGTCTAAGTCAGCTCCAAATGCTCATTCCTGTGGGAACAAAGTAAGCGCTAATGGATGAGCCCCTTAGTAAGGGGTGGGTGGGCTGTGGATCCCACAGCCTCACAGCGAGATCAATGGGGACCTCATCTCTGCGTGTGCTTGGCACAGCAAATACCAGTAACACTTCCGGGGAAGCGAACGGCCTATGCCCGGGCTTTGGGAGTTGTTTAGAGAAGTGGCCCAGGGGCATTGCTCCATCCCAGCCATCAGAACCATCCTCTCATGGATCCTGGAAGGATGGATGTGGATATTTCCTATTTCTATTCCTTGTGATAAAAAATAATTTAAATGTGTCTGATTTAAAGGCTCAAATTGGCTCTGAAAATATCCATAAGAGGGTTAGTGAATCCTGCTCAAAGTGAGCTTTAAATTACTGGGATTCAGTCTTGGTGCAAAGGCTATGTTAGTTAAAATGGGGAGAGGAGCCAAAAAGGCAGGAACCCTGGTCCCTCACCCCAATACAGAGGCAAGGAGAGAAGAGGCTGGGACCCTGGAAGGCCATGAAAAAGAGACCCCTGAGGCTAAGAACTGGACTTAAGGCCAGGCATGAAAAGGAGCTGCTGGTCCCTCCCCTAAGATGAGGTGAGGCCACAGGTCTCTAGAGCTGGAAGTCAGCAGGGCTGGGGTAGCTGGAGCAGAAAAGGAAAATGTCCTGGACCACAGGGTTGGTCAGGGTCTGCATGTCATCAAGCCCCCACAGAAGTCAAATGCATCCTTCACAGGTAAGGGTGGGAGTGAGCGGCTCTCAGGGGTCTATCCTGCCCTTGTCCTCAGGAGTTGTCCACAGCCCTGGCAAAGTGGTCAAAGCAGTTTGCCTGTGACCATGTGATCACACAAGTTAGAAATAGCAGTGAAGACTCCTGGGTAGAAGATGGGACTTCCTGCTTGGGGTGTGTGTGTGTATATGTGGTAACACTGCAGGGAGAATGCATACTAACTCTGGGACTACTGTCACAGGTGCATCCTTGCCCAGGGATTCAGGGCTACGGGAGGGGACAGGTAATAGGGTTAGCTGCTGTCCTGCAGGAGTTTGGCACCATGGCTCTCTGGGGTCAAAGCTGTGCCCCCCAGAGAAACCCTATTAGGGTCCACTGGAGAGCAGGGCTCTAAGAACTCAGATTTGTTAAGTGGGAGCTCAGGGTTAGGGTACAATCAAGAAGCCCCTGTGCCCTTTGAGGAAGGACTTCCACCCAGGGGACACTTTGGGGAAGAACTGGGTAAGAGGCACTGTTTCCTGCAGAGCCTGGGGTGATACAAGCTTGGGGGAGGGCAGGGTGGTTCCCAGATACTGTTAAAGCAAGGTGGTCTCTCCAGATTTACACGGGAAAACTGAGGACGGATACAGGATAAGTTAATTCAAGTAAAGAACAAAAGAAAACAAGAGCAAGAGGAAGTGGGGCGGCAGGAGTGTGGCAGGGTCAGGGACCCGAGCCTCCCCCACTCTGCAGGAGCCCCACCCCCTCCCCTGACGCTGCAAAGTCACACAGAGGTCTCCGACTGCAGTCGCATGACGAACTTATGTGACTTGGGATCCACAAATTCCTCAGAGAGTTTGAAGAATGGCACCTTCTTGGTGCTCACCACCAGGCTGAAGTCCTGGCGTTTCAAGAGGAAAACGATGCCATCCTTAAGCCCATTGGTCACCGGCTCCTCGCTCACCAATGTCCACTGTTTGGCCAGCCAACGTTCCTTGTGGTATTGGATGGTGGGTCCGGCTGCCAAATATCGCTCTAGGAAGGCCTGAGGAGGGGAGAAGACACTGCCTGGGCATCTCTCCTACCCACCCATCCTTCATTCCCTGCCACACAGCTTCCAAAGACAGCCAAGATGTTTCGAGCTCATTCTATACACGTGAAGTTTCTTAAAGAGTGAGAGCAGAAGAGGGCCTGAGAGAAGCTTGATGAGGAGCACAGGCGCGACAGAGCTCCAGTAGGAACAGAATTCACGCCATCCTTCACTCTGTTCCCTGCGCACCATGCTGTTCCCAGGGCAACTCGATCCTCATTCTTCCCTCTTTCTTCCTTCCCTTCCACACAGCTTATATGATTAGCACCATGTAGGTCTGCACTTGGAGGTTTGCACTGCAAAGATTCCAGTGCAACATTGTGTGTGTGTGTGTGTACATGTGTATATACATGTCTGTAATTGTATGCACGTGTGTATACATGTGTGTGCATTTGTAAGCATGTGTGTATACATTTGTGTATGCATGTGTGTGTGCCTGTGTGTGTGTTTTGCTGGTAACTAAAATCAAGAACTCAGGCCTGCTCTAGCACTGAGCTACATTCCCAGCCTCTTTATCACCCACTCCCCAAAGAAGGCTCCGAGAAAGCCATTCTAGGAAGCTGGCAACTGGGCTGAGGTAAGCAAGGGCTAAAAGGCAGCACAGGTAAAAGCTTACTTTGTGGGAAAAGAGTGAGACTTGGAATGTAGACATTCCAGAGCCTTACAAAGAAGAGAAACAGGTCTCTGACATCCCCCAAATGGTTTAGAAGCATAGCCTTGCCTGCTCCACTCCGCGGACAGGACAGGAGTGGGGACGAGAAAAGAGATTACAAAGAAGAGGTGAGGATGAGACAAGGGAGGAAGGTGAGTGAGGAGAGAATGAGGAAAAATGGCCAAGAGCAAAAGGAACGAGAAGCTGGACACAGAGGAAAGTCGGAAGCAGCAGGCCTACCTTGGGCGTCATGTCGTGAGTGATGCAGAACTCCAAGTGCTGCAGGATGCTCTCCATGGTGTGGTAAGGCTGCTGCTTGGTGGTCCGAAGGTACTTCTGCATGGCACGGGCCATGGATGCAAAGATGGCTTGGGCCGCCTCCCGGGGATCCATCACCTCCCTGGGGTTCTTCTGCTCCTCTTCCTGCAGTCGCTTAATGTGAGTGAAGGCCTCTTCCACAGCCACCACGAGCCTGGGGGACAGGCAGTATCTGCAGCAGATGCCCACCACTCATCCTACCCTCTACCCATTCTTTGGCTCTGACTGTTGCAGCCAGAGTGAGGTCAGGCCTCTCTGCTCTCCCTGAAGTAATTGAGGCCCATTTGGAGCCAAGGGCCTGGGGATTGAGAGATGGGAGCGTGTTTTCTTCATAGGCAACAAGGAACAGTTGTAGAACTCAGTGGACTCGGACTAGGGACTTAAAGTGAACAGGCCTAGCATCAAATCTAGAAAGACACCTAGGAACTATATACTGAAAAGGCCAAGTATCCCACAGGACCCTAGGAAGAGTCCACGCCACACTACACTATATAAAACTCATAGATATAAGTAAAGGGAAATGGCCGTCACCACTGTTACTTGTTACGACTATTAAAGTCATGTGCGGGGCCGCATGCACACACCTGCTGTGAGGTTAGAGAAGCCCCTTCCCTCTTTCCCACATACAGATTCCAGGAACTGAACTCGGGTCATCAGGCTCTGGAAATAGCATTTCTATTCAGCCTCAGTAAGCAGCACAGGCCATGCTGACACCTGACTGGGGGTGGGGGTGGATTATCTGCAGCAGCTAAAGCCAACAAAGAACTGGTATCTGAAATATACAAAGAATTCACTACAAATCAGGAAGGAAAGGTTAAGAATCTTTAAAGTAGTGAATAAAAGAGGAGGTCGGAAAGGTAGTTCAGCAGCAAAAGAGACTTTCCACCAAGCCTGACAACCTGAGCTCTGGACTCAGAATAAAACCCACACCTAAAGTTGTCCTCTGACTACATATGAACTCTGAAGTGTGTGGCCACGTACACACATAAACAAATGTATGTAATTTTTTAATGGGCAAAGGAGCCAGGAATGATGACACATTTCTGTAATCCCAGCACTTGGTAAACAGAGGCCAGAGAATCACAGATCCCAGTCCAGGCTGATGTACTTAGTGAGACTGTTTCAAAAAACTAAGTAAATTCAAATAAAATCAGACCAAGGAAGTAAAGGGTTCATAAGAAACCTGAACGATAATAGGCAAGTAGAGATACAAATAAAACATTAATAAGGGGCTGGAGAGATGGGTCAGTGGTTAAGGGTGCCAGCTGCTCTCACAGAGGACCCAGGTTCGGTTCCCAGCACCCACATGACAGTTCGCTGATGTGTATAACTCCAGGTGCAAGGGATCCCATGTCATTTTCTACTGTCCTGGACACCAGGCACACACATGATACACACACATGCAGGCAAAACACTAATACACATAAAATAATATTTTTAATTTTTAAAAATAAATAAAACATTAATAAGATGCTTCTTCATCAAAATGGAAGATAACCAGCCAGGCGGTGGTGGCGCACGCCTTTAATTTCAGCAGTCTTGAGGCAGAGGCAGGCGGATCTCTGTGAGTTTGAGACCAGCCTGTTCTACAGAGCGAGTTCTACAGCTAGGACTACACACAGATAAACCCTGTCTCAAAAAAACCAAAGAAAAAAAAAAGGAAGCTAACTCTAATCCTAACACTGGATAGGAAGGCATGGACATTCTATGAATTACAATGCAACAATAGCATGTAATGAGTGACATACAGAACACATGGGTGAACCTCAAAATACATTAAAAGGAAGAAGAAAAAAGTCAGTTTATCAGGAGAACCTGTATGAGTTTGAGGTCAGCCTGTCTACATAACGATCTCCAGGTCAGCCAAGGCTACATAGATGACTTTATCTCAAAAAAACAAAACAAACAGTCACTCCACACTAACCGCACAGAGCCGATAAAGCCATAACACATCATTTGTACAAAAACACAAGCAGATTGTAAGGAACTCGAGCTAGACTCAAGTAGATAAAGAAAGACTGTGAAGAAACTATGTCCACAGAGCTGTGGACAGTGAAAAATGCTCTGTACTAAGTCCAAACACCAAAGCAAAGCCCACTGTCCTAAAAGTAGGACTGGCCTAGAGGGACAGGACAAGAAAGGATGTGAGGTCTTCATCCCAGAAGCCAGACATCTCAGGACCTTCCATGAGCTCAGGATGGAGCTCTGGGCTGGTATGTGCAATTTGTCTACATGTCTCCTTTCTGTGCCTCCTTCTACATCCCGAAGTTTCTTAGCAAAGTTTCTTTTGAAAAGATCTTTTTGCTTCAGGTGCGCTAACGTTTCCTATCAGCTACAAGCAAGGTAACGGGGAGAGGAAATAAGACCTTGTGCCAAGAGTGACAGTGGCAGGCCTAGTCAGGGGAAATGTCACAGAATTAGAACTGGTGGTCTTTAATCTCCAGGACACCACCTACATTAAAACCAAGACTGGGGGGCTGGAGAGATGGCTCAGAGGTTAAGAGCACTGACTGCTCTTCCAGAGGTCCTGAGTTCAATTCCCAGCAACCACATGGTGGCTCACAACCATCCACAATGAGATCTGGCGCCCTCTGCTGGTGTGTAGACACACATGGAGGCAGGATGCTGTATTCATAGTAAGTAAATAAATCTTAAAAAAAAAAAAGACCAAGACTGGGCTGTCTCTCTGCCTTGAAGCCTAGAATAGGAAGTAGGTAGACGGCAGGGTGGATGCTCTGGTCCCTTATTTCTGCTCATCTCCTCTGTGGTAAAATCCTGGAAGTTCCAGGTAGAACCTGGAGGCAGCAGGCACTAAAAAAGATTCTTCAGGCATGATTTAAGATCTTCTGACAAAGGGATAATTGAAGACAGCATTTAAGAATTTACCAAAAGAGGCCAGGAGTGGTGGAACACACCTCTAATCCCAGCTCTTGAGAGGAAGAGACAATAAAATCTCTGAGTTTGAGGCCAGCCTGAGCTACACAGTAAGTTCCAGGCTAGCCAGGGCTACATAGTAAGACCTTGTCTCAACGAAAATAGAACAAAAACAAAAATCCAAGGATGATGGCCTGTACTTTTAATCCCACCACCAGGGAAGGCAAGACCAGCAGATCCCTGGGATTTGGTGGCCAGCCAGCTTAGTCTAGCCTACTTGGTGAGTTCCTGAGCAATGAAGAGACCATCTCAAAACACAAAGTGGACAACACCTGAGGAACAGTAGCCCAGGTTGCCCTCTGGGCCCCACATGCATGCACACACAAGCACATGCACAAAGAGATAAAGAAAGGAAGAAGGAAAGAAAAAAAGAAAGAAGAAAGGGAGGGAGGGAGGGAGGGAGGGAGGGAGGGAGGGAGGGAGGGAGGGAGGGAGGGAGGGAGGGAGGGAGGGAGGGAGGGAGGGAGGGAGGACGAACAGATAATTATCCTTTTGGGCCTGAAAACCAGTCTTCCCTGTAGATAACAAAAGTCAGAACAGTAGGCTCCTGTTAGAAGAGGCTGGAAACTGTGGGGAGGCATGACATGAAAGTGATCCCATCAAAAGCCAGGAAGCTTGGAAGAGAAGCCCAGGCTCAGAGGAGAGCTGTACAGATTTTAGCCTTCAAGGTCCAAGCAGATGTTCCAGCAAACCTGACCCATGGAACAGAGCGATAACAAATGCTGTTTTACAGCTGCTGAGTCTGTGCTAATCAGTCACTAGAAAATGGAGATGTAAAACCTGCATTATCACTGTTCTATTCCCATCGGGTATTAAGGGCCTCTTGGACGTCCTCTCCCTAGTTCATCCCACAGGCACCCGCATCTTCCCCTCCCTGGGGTATTCACCAAGCCCTGAACTCACACAGCCGGTACCCACCTGGCCCTGCGCTTTCGCACTCGGCGCTCATGCTCGGCTTCCTCATAGTAGTACTCGTTGTGGCTGTTGTCCCGTCTCCGCGCTGCTGCCGCAATCACAGCCCTTGACTGAGCAGTGGAGTTATTGGTGCTGTTGTCTGCATGGGATCAGGACAGAGGAGATGGTCGATGAAAGAGCATAGCCTCTGGGCTTCGTTGGCGCTCTGGGGAAACGGCCTGACGCATCCAGAGGATCCATCCCCACCACCCAGCAATGCCTCCCAGTCCCAGCCCTCCTGGCCACCTCTGGGAGGAACTGCAGGAAAGCAACCAGGAAGGCACTGGAAGGGCAGAAGTTCTGCATATATACGCCTCCTGATGCAGAAGGCTTTGCAGTTCAGGGCTGCAGGGTAGAGAGACCAGGACTCTGAGAAGACACAGGCTCTAAACCAGGGGATACACCATAGCATAAAGAGGACCAGCAGCTAAGACCAGCTCCCTGAAGTCAAGGGAAATGACAGAACAGAGGGGGCTGGGACACAGGCCAGAGAAAGGAAAAGGCAAGGGAAGTAGCTTGGAGTCCTGCTTAGGAAGAGGCCGGGAGGGGCGGAGGAGCAGGGCCGCTCACCCTCTCCGAGAGAATACACCTTGAAGCCAGACACTTTCTTGGCCAGGACGGACTTGGGCAGGTTGAGGAGGGCGGGGTTGTAGACAGGGAAGTCATGGTAATACTTCTCCAGGATCCACACTGCCACTCGCTGGATGCTGTTGGGGAGACGGCAGGAGGGGGAGGGAGAAGGGACAGACAAGGGGCGCAGGGGAAGGGACACATCAGGGCAGGTCGGCAGGGCTGGAGAGGACACATGACAGGGACAAGCTGCTTCCAGGAGGCCTGGCTCAAGCCTGAGGTCTACTTACCAGGCCGCTAGCCTTTCCCAAGGTTGGGTCTTCTAGTCATTTCCTACTATACTGAAGCCCAGGGGTAAAAGGGCCCCGTCAAAGGTCTCCTCATCCCCCTCTAACAGTCTCCCAAGGTTACTGACAGGACCTGGGAGGTGCCACCGATGCTCGGCACAGCGTGGGGGGGGGGCAGGGGGGGACATGCTGCCCACAAGCCTGGTGGGTGTGACCTTCCATCTCTCCCTCTGGCCAGCTCATCTAGTAACATTCACTGACTTCTCACAGGAAGCTGTGCCTCCAAGAAAAGGTTAGAAACCTTCTGTCTATACTCCACACCCCTCTCCCCTTTGATCCATCCTCCTCTAAGATCTTGAATTGCCTATCACTCCCCGCTCACAAATCCACAGGCATCTTGCCCACAATCCAGCATACGACTTGGTCACTAGTCTGAAAACAGCACTGAACTCTCCGTGTGCGAACGCCCTTCCACCCGGCCCCTCTAACCCATTATTGGCTGCCCTCACCATCACGCCCTCCCCCCTCCACCCAGACCTCTCAGGTCTCACCTTCGCCCTGTGCAAGTCCCATCTCCGGCCACGCACCCGTACCTGAGGTGGCCCACGTTGTAGAAGCGGCTGGCCCCGTCTGTGGACCGCACCACCTTGAGTGTGAACTGAGGCTGGAGCTGGCGCAGCTCCAGCAGAACCACGGCCAGGTAGTGCACGAAGAGGAGGGCGTCCACCAGCGAAACAGCAAACTGAACCACGCCCTGGTAGCTGCGCTCCCGGGCATCCAAGATGCGCACGCCATAGAAGAGCCAGTAGGAGATAACAAGCAGGAAGACGAGCACCATGAGCAGCGCCCGTAACACGAAGACTCGGGGCAACGAGGCCTTGGGCCGGCGGAAGAACAGAGCCCAGCTGCCCAACAGCAGGATGAGCAGCTTGAAGGCCACAGAGATGAAGAGGCCCTCGCACGCTGTCCCACATGGCTCCAGCTCCTCCCGCCACAGCAGTGGAGGCAAAAGCAGGAAAGCCAGCGGGGTGAGGAAAGAGAGCAGCGCCAGAGTGGCCCCTGCCGCCACGCCCAAGTGGCGTGAGCAATCCAGCGGGACACTGTCCTCCATGTCCTTCGCGATGCGTGTGAGGTCATCGTGGGAGATGCTGTGCTCAGAGGTGCCTGTGACCACGGTGGTTGTTTCTCCCCAGTTGTCATCCTGTAGTCGGGAAGGGGAGGAAGAAGAAAGGCTAAGCAGAGAATCTCCACAGAGGAGCACATGGGAAAGCAGACGGCAGGAAGACGAGGGGAAATCGGCAAACCCACAATCAGAGAATGCACTGAGCTCTACCACGTGCCCGTCTCGTCTCTGCAGAAATGGAAATATAAAGCCCAAGTCCTTGGGAAGCTGCACAGAGAAAAAATACAACATGTGCGGTGATGACCCTCGGAAAACAGAGCGCAGGACAACTGGCAAGGGGACAGCCTGGGCAGTGGCAATGACCCAAGGGCAGGTTTGCCAGGCAAAACAGGCAGCTTCCAGAGAGTGACAGGACCCGAGCTGACCCCCAGCAGTGGGTGACATGCAAAAGCTCATCCGAATTAGTGGTTCCCAACCCCAGCTGCACACATTAGAATCACCTAGGGAGCTCGGAAAACATACCAATTATGCAAAGTGAGATCTGCTTGTCAACCTTTTTTTAAAAAGCTCCCCAGATGATTATAATGCTCAGCCACGATTGGGAACCCTGAGCTAAATGATCTCCCGGGGCTGCTGTTAGAATGCACTCTGCGAGCCAGGCGGTGGTGGCGCACGCCTTTAATCCCAGCACTCGGGAGGCAGAGGCAGGGGGATCTCTGTGAGTTCGAGGCCAGGCTGGACAGATAGCCTCCAAAACAATACAGAGAAACCCTGTCTCGAAAAAACCAAAAAAAAAAAAAAAAAAAAAAAAAAAGAATGCACTCTGCGGGCCAGCAGTGTGGGAGTCACCTAGGAGCACGTGAGAAACGCAGAACCACAGGCCCACCCCACGTTTGGTGAGCCATAGTCTGCACTTAACAAGATGCCCGTGAACTGTTTCGACTTAGGGCTCCAAGTTTCTTCCAGCTTTTGCAGAAGACCACGGTTTCAACAGAAGACAAGACAGAGATTCGGGGAGCAGGAGATTCAAGTGCAGGGGCAAAGAGCAGAGTGCCCAGGAAAGGGGAGTCAAAAGCCATTTGTGCAGGCCATGTGGCAATGCCAGACTAAGCAACAGACATCTATCCCGGCAACAGAAGTAACGCATGATGACCCCAGCACACAGGAGACTGAAGCAGGAGGACCGTGTGAGCTCAAGATTAGCCTGGGCCACAGATCAAGACAGTCTCAAAGAAGAAAAAAGAAAAAGCAGAGGAGGTAGAGGAAGAAAGATCAGAGGTTCAAAGCCTTCCTCGGTTACATCAGTAAGTTCAAGGCCAGCCTGAGTTACATGAGACCTTGTCTTTTTAAAAAGCCATTCACCCTCCAACCATGAGGAGCTACCACTGCTTTCTCACTAAGGGACAAGAGGAGATAGGATGACCTGTGAATGATCTAAACAGGATATGGGAAACACGCCGCACACTCAGGGTCACCGTGGGTCTCTATGAAGCTAGCCCTGCTGAATAAGCATGGTACAGGGTCTGTGGAGGTGAGCAGACAAGCTGGGCTCCTCGGGTGCCCTTCAGAGTGTGACCTACCCAAATCTGTTTCTCTGGCTAGAGACCATCCTACAAAGAAGCCTCGAGATCACCAGGGCTTTCAGTACCCACAATTCACTTCCAGGACAGCCTGGGCATATGGAGTCATACCCTGAAAGCCAAGGGATGCAGGTTCCAGGACTAAGTCACACAGTGCAGGGTAGGGGGTGGCCTGGAAGGGTCAGTGACTAGAGAGTTGAGGAGTCTCCTTTCCCAAGGATCGGGAAGAATCCCATCTGAATATAGAAAGTAGGAAAGCTGGCCACTGTCAGCTGTGGGACTAGAACCACACCCTCACCCGGTGACCCCAGATACACTGTCTACCCTCTCAAGGATCAAGGCCTAATCATATCTCAAGATCACTTCAAAAAATCTCCGAGACCTGGTACCACAGAAAGGAAAGAGTTCCCAATGTCAGGCATGTCCCCTATACCCCTGAGGAAAAAGAAACTGAGAGTCTCCATTGCCTGATGCTTCCAAGAAGAAAGCACAGGAATAAGAAGATTTGGGTAATCTCGGTGTCACTGCAAATCCTGTCCCTCCTAAATTCCAGGACTGTGTTCTGCCTACTCTTCTCTCAACCCAGAGAACGCAATGAACCAGAAGTTAGGGCAGAAACCTGGAGAATTCTTTTCCAAGGCGCCTCCCTTAACTGCTCAGCCTCCCCTCCTCTCTCTCCCTAGCTCCATTTACTCTTCTTCCAAAAGCTCTTTCCCAAAGGACCTAGGTGATGCTGTTCCATATGCTAACAGCAGGGGGTGTAAATCTGAGCCTCTAGGGACACCTGTGGTCTACCCACCAAGACTGCTATCTATCCTCCTACTCCAGCGTCCAGCCTGACTGACTGATAGAGCATTAGAGAAGTTGGGACATTTCTCCTTACTCAGCTAAACCCTTGAGGAAGGGTAGGAGCTAGTGCCTCCAGAAGGGCTTCCACTAAAATTCCCTGAATTCCAACAAGGCCCCACCGTGGAACACTAAACAAAGGAAGGGAATAGTAGTGCACCCCTGTAATCCCTACTTTTGGGAGGCAGAGACTCCCAGTCTGGAGGCCAGGCATAGTAGCACACACCTTTAATCCCAGCATTAATGGGGCAGAGGCAGACAGGGCTACACTCTGAGACCCTGTATCGAAAACAAAACCTAAGACCAGTCTGGGCCACATAATGAGTTCAAGTCTAGCTTGGGCTACAAAAGGAGATACCCTTCTGGATCCTGTATCTACCCTAGGAGACCAGATATCTCTCTCAGCCCTCCCCCTGCCTAGTGGAGCCTCCACCTCCCCTAGGGGGTCAGGGAATGTCAGCTCTAAACCACTTTATCCCCAGTACTCACCCGCTCGTCTCCCCTCGTGGACTCATTGTCCAGCAGGGGCTCTCCCGGAGCCTGGATCGTCACCGATTTATCCCCACGGCTCCCATCCCGGCTCTTGGAGCGGTGTCGGTCCCTGCGGTCCCTGCAGCAGGAAGCCAGAGAAACAGAACGAAAGGTCACCAGGGGATCCTTCAGCGGTCCCCACACCTCAGCATGGACCACCTCTCCACCAGCCAGGCCACTCCACCATCAGCCGAACCCACCTGTGCTTCCGGGAGCTGCGGGAATGGCCCGACTTGTAAGAATAGCCCGAGTACTGGGACTCGGTGTCCATGGCGTCTGAACGCCGTGCCTTGTAGCGCTCCAGGGTCGCGGGCTGGGGCCTCTTGGGGGGCCCCACTGCCACCTCCTTCAGCACGGGCTTCTTCAGGCCAAGAGGCACCTTTAGGAAGTCAACTGTCACCCTGAGGGACTCTATTTTGCTGGACGAGTGGGCTTATCTCAGAGAAATTCAAGCGACGATCCCTAAGGAGACAGAGCAGTTGCTTAGGGGTAGCTGGGCCCCCACCCCCATGGGTGAGAACACAAAAGAAAACTATCCCCAAATGTCACCAAAAGTTATGGTTAGCCCAGACACAAAAGTGAGAATACCTCATTTTTGGTTCCCGTTCTGTTCAATGGGCTCAGGTCCTCCTGCTCTGCCGGCTAGACAGACCCTCCCCCCACAATGTGCCCAGTATTCAGGGCTGGGGAAATGCTGGCACAGGCACCCTGAATAACCCAGCTTGGATGCCTCATTGGGAAGAACCAAGGCAGTACTTTCCTATTCTCAGCCAGGAAAACATTAACTTAGAGACACATGTATGTATAAGCTCACAAAGACACTCTCTCTCTCTCTCTCTCTCTCTCTCTCTCTCTCTCTCTCTCTCTCTCTCTCGCTCTCTCTCGCTCTCTTGATGGGTAGATGGAGGATGAAGATTGACAGCATGGTGGAGTAATAGAAGCATCGCCAAAACCCTACAATCTCCAGACAAGCAAGATCCAAGTCTCCCCGCTTTGGCTGACGGACAGTCTCTTTTATCTACACTGCATGTCTTACTCTCCGGCAGAGGATGGTATCTCCTCCCCAATTTTCCAAGCACCACCCACCATCCTTCAGAGCCCAGCCCCAACTCTCACAAAAGCCCCAGCTACTCTAGTAACCTGGGTCATCTTCTCCACTGCTGCTGGCAACACTAACTTCAGTCATCACCGTGCCCTGAGCACTCTGTCTTCACTCACTGATGGAGCAAGCCTCTCTAAGCCACCTCCTTTGAACTCCATACTTTGCTATGCCCTGGGTACTGTGGTGTAACTGACTCTGAGTTTATGGTCTGGGAAGATGTACACTAAACAGCTACGCCAATAAATACAAGCAGCCACGTGAGCGTGGTGGTGGTCAGACGACCACAGGCAGTGCATCGGGGGTTGAACCCTGCGTTCTAAGCGAGCGTTCGACCCCTGGGCTAGCTACATCTCCAGCCCCACGGAGACAAACCGAGAGTCTGGAAACATGGGGAAAAGACACTTAAACAGACACCCAAGAAAGAGAAAGCCCCAGGAGGGAAGGCCAAGTCAAGACAGGGCTCTGTGCACTCAGAACCACGGCCAACACAGCTGAGGACGAGAGAGAGGAGGACAGGAGCAGCGGGAGGCAAGCGGAGAGGTCGGGTTTTATTCGAAGGTTATCGGGAAGCCTATTCAGCTGCGCAGATTTGGGTTGGAAAGGAGAAAAAGCAGGAATGGAAAGATCAGCGAGGAGGTCTCACAGCGGGGAGACTTGGCCACCAGAACCGAGGAGGAGGTAAGACATGGACTCGCACAACCAACCAGACTTGATGAAAGGCTGGCCGAGGGGGTGAGGAGCAACAAAACACCCAGTCAAGCACCACAAGAAAAGTAAGTAAAATGCAATAAAAAAAAAGTCTAGCCTGAGCAAGGGAGAAGGTACTGAGTATCTGCTAAGGCGGCAGAGAACAAGAAGACGTTTGGGAGGATTCCGTTTATGAAGGAGCATGTGTGGAGTCGAGCAAGCGTGGTGAGGAAGGCTGCCAGCACTGGCTGTGGGGAATGGGCAGCTGGGCATCCAAAGAGCTGGAGCCTGAGCTGGGGGTATGGGCCACAGGCAGAGACAGTGCACCGAGCTCAGGAGAGCACTATGTAACTGGATGCAAGAACTCCAAACAGCACATGGTGGGGGGCGTGGGGGAGATCCAGCTAAAAGGCCGAGAAGGAGAAACCAGAGGCCAGCAGAGTGTAATCTCATGGCAGCCAATAAGGCAAGTGGACTTCCAGGGAGGAACAGATACAACCAGGTCCAACGCTGCTGAGAAGACCACTGTTTTACGCACTGGAACAGACTTGCTTTGTGGAGTTGCCCTTTTTCCAACCACTCTAAAACACCAGAAACTGGAGAATGAGCGAAATAAGTCATACATATTTGCAGACACCGCCCCTCCCATGGGTACAGGGCAAGTAACTGATACCCACCTAGTAAACGTATACGCTTGTCTGTCAGGGAAACTGCCATTGCGGGAGATAAGCATCAATGTGAAATCTATTCATTTCTCCTCCTAACAAAGTCACGTGGGAGCAATCCATGGGCCAGTGATATCAATACCCCCACATCAAAGCAATAGGTGATAGAGACATACTTGGGGGGCAGATAGACTTCAACCCAAACCTGAACCTCTCTCTAAGACAGGGCCACTAACAGGGCCCATCCATGTTCACCCCTCTGCAAATTTCGTGTTGGGTTCCTCTACCCCTCCCGGGGAACCCACTCTACTGGTTTACTCCTCCACACGGTTTAGACAGTCGCGGCCGCGCTGCTTTTTGATGTGGTTCCCACCTATTCTTTCTAGTTCCCCTCTTAAAGACTGAACTCTGCCAGGAGGCTCTAAGACCGACGGCTGGGGCAGTGGGGATGAAGTAAAAGGACAAAGAAGTGTCACAGATTAGATCCAGACGGACACTAGAGCCCTCGCTCATCATCCTCACCCCCCTCTATCTGCTAGAGCCAGCAGCAGAAAGAGCCTGGGATGTACACAAAGATCTGCGTTTAAAACCAACCTCTCCCGTTGCTGAGCTGTGACTATGGGCAAGTTACTGACCCTTCTGTGCGTATGGCACGGTGGGCCCTTTGGTAAAGCAAGAGGTGATGATACCTCCTTCATGGGGTAGCTTCGAGGAACACAGGGATGAGGGAAGTGCTTCCACAGACTGTGCAGCCACTAATAGTTAAGCAATTAATAAGCTCTCAAACTCCAGTCCCCAACCACTTCCTCTGAAACTAGGGAAGGCGGTGGTATAAATAAATTGTGCGACTAAATAAAGAACTCTCCCACGCACACACCCCGACCAGACCCACTACTTCAAACACACCCAGATGTGAGGTGAAGCTGTTTCCCCGGCAGATAAATTTCAAGCCAGACAGGGTGCCAGCGATCTCCCAACTCTTTGTTCTGAGCTACTTAGCCCGCAGCCCACTCCCATCCTCCCTAGCAAAAGACAAACCCCACAGCCCTGGCACAGAGAGCTGCCCAAAACGCAACAAAACGCCTCCTCACAGGGGGCACAAAGGACCACAACTTATGAAGCCTTTGCCTGCTGTCCTTTTGGGTACCCAAGGCAGCTAATCCCAGCATTGGGGAAGGATAAAAGGTAGGCAAAAGGATGGGCAGAAGTTCCCCCTTACTTAATCGGTCTCAAGAATCAGATTTGGAGGGTCTCCCGGGTGGGCAGCATTCCCAGGAAACGAGGTGGGGGAGGGGATCCGTGGATGAGATCAACAAGTAGAAATGTCAGAGCGATGAGAAGACAGGAGAGAAGTCTGGACTTGGCACAGGGCAGAGGGTGGGAGGCTGTTAAAAGCAAATATGCCCCAGTGTTTCGACTCACCCCCACTCCTCAGACACAAACACAGGCACCTAGTCCCCTACTCAAACCAGCCCTGGATTATCTGGGGTTAAAAGGAGGCCAAAGAGGAGAGAGGGAGAGCAGAGAGAGTCCCACACAAAAAGGAGACCCTTCTCCCCTCCAAAGGCCTTTCAGAAATAAAATTAATGGAATGTCTCAGTATCGTCCCAAGGGAATTGGGGGGAGGGCTGAGGGGAATGTGGGGGCTTTTGTCCCGGCTGCCCAGTTTCTCCCACATTGATCACCATAGCAACCAAAGCCCCCTGTTGCCTAGGTGATGGCAGCCAGGTCCTGGAACCCATACCCAGCATCCACAGCGAGAAAGGTTACAGAGGTGGGGGAATGGGACAGAGGGGGAGAGAATGGGGTTTCTCCTCTGGCAGCCCCAGCTTTTGTCTGAGCTGGGGATCAGGTTTCTTCAAGAAACAATCGGAGGCCTCTAGAAAAAAACAAACTGAAAACCTGGCAAGAGGGCCCTGGGGTACGTGGTGCATGGGTGGGTATGGGTGCAGGGTAAATACAGAACAGAACAAATGACCCTTCCTCACTGGCCACTCACAGGCACAGCCGAGGGAACAATCCAGTGCTCTGCGTGTGCACACGCACGCGAGGTGCCAACAAGTGCGGCAGGTGCTCAGGACAGCGACCAGGCATAGGAGTCTGTCGTCGCCGCCCCCTTTGCCACTGCTCTAGCCCAGCAATTGGAGCTAGGGAGGGACGTCAGGCAGAACACAGGAGGATAATCTGGGAAGAAGCAGGAGCCAGGGTGACTCAGCCACAGGAGAAAGGTGGGGAAGGAACCCAGCACAAGTGTACGCCTCAGAAGGGGCTGGCTGTGCTTCGTCTACAACGATGTAACAGGGCTGGAAGCGGCAGGCCTGTGGGGCAGGGGTTTCATGAGGAGGGAAAGGTAGGCAAGAAGCTGAAAGTTCTGCATTGACACAGAGATCTGTCTCTGCCAGGCCCCGTTTCCTCTTCTCAGCCAGGGACCAGGAAGGGTGGTCCTGCCTGGGCACAGTTAATCCTTTGGAGGCCTCCTGAGTAGGCATCCGTCTGTGGGACCTTGCCCGTTACAGCCCTCTGATTCCTACACAAGAGATAGACAGGGTCTTACTGTATCTGGCCTGGCCCCATTTCTGCAGCACAACCCGTATGTAGGTGGGTGACTCCTACAGGCACAAGTGCTGAGTGTCTACTTTGGGGGTTAGGGGTTTACTTAGCTATCTGGCCAGGAGCGGAGCACCTGGTCATAAGATCATCAAGATGTAAGGCAAAGGTTCAGAGGCTCATCTGGATTTCACCACACGATCCCCTGAGTTTCAGAGATGAGTCCAAACAGCTGGCCCTGTCAGGCAATAGTGGAGACTCAAGGCTTTTGATTTGAGTGAAATACACACCTAACCTGGATCCCTCAAGAAAGTGGTGGAGCTCTCTGATTCTGCCCTCATCTCTCCTACAATGGGAGACAGTGAACTGACCCACCCAATTCTCTCGGCAGCTGCAAACATTAGCTGAATGGCAACTCAAGAGGGAAATGGCTGGCCAGTGGTCACTACTTCCAAGACAGCCCACTATGGCCTCTTACTGCTGGGAAAAATTCTCTTGAAAGGCAATCAGATTCTTCTGCAAGTCCCCTTTTGCCCTTTCAACAGACAACACCACAAGAAGCTAAGGGAAATGGGAGGTTTGCTGACTCCTGCCCTGAGCCTTCCCACCAGGGACAAAGGGGTCAGAAGTCAGGCAGACCTAAGCCCAATAGCAAAGAATCCAGCCGCCACTCCAAAGCGCCTTAGCCTCCTTCATTCCTCCCCATCCAACCTTAGACATGGACAAGCCACCCATGCCAAGAGACTCATGCTAGATCTTTCCCATCACAGAAAGAACCAAGTCACAGAATGGTCAAGAGCCACCCTTGGCCTAAAAATGGGCTCTAGACTCACTCTTCTGCCCTCAGAAAAGATCCAGTGACTCTAGTGACCCAAGAGGCCAAAGAAGGCAGCTGGACCTCAGGGGGCCCAGTGAGAAGACTTCAAGGCTAGGTGCCCAGGAGTTGGCACCGAGCGCCCCACCCCCGTACTGCTAACCAAGCACTCTCCTGGGAGGGCCAGACATGAGCTCACCATTCTCACAGTCCCAGGGCGGGGGCAGGAGCCTTCTCCTAAGCAGGGGAGGGGCAGGATAGCAGGGGAAGAGCCCACAGATGGGCTCCTGCCAGGGTACCAGATACTAGATACTAGAAAGGAGTTAGAAAGCAGAGCCCCACCCCTTTCCACCTTCTGAAATATCCCTGGATGTAAAGCAGGGAAGTGTGGAGGACACCCTCCACATCTAGACAGAAACACTGGCACACATACACATACGCATACATTCTAGTTCCCCTTCTGAAACCTGGAATGGTTCCTGCCTGCCCCACCCAGCTCCACCCACCCTGGCTAGGCAGGTTCTGTAGAGACCTGTTCTGCTCTCTCTGGCACCCCTACCCCCATCTGGCTCTCAAAGTCCCTGCCCCCAATCCAAAACAGACACACACACACACACACACACACACACTCACAGCCCATAGCATCCCATCCTCTAGTTTCCCCTAGCCCCACGCCTGGTCAGTCTGGAGCAGGATGTTGAGGGATGAATATTCCCTTTGGCATCTTTCCCAGGCTGAGACTACAGGGAGAGAGAGGACACAGGACTTGTACAGAGGCAACTGGGGCTGGAATGCCAGGATGCTCTATTTAATTTTCACCACCCACAGGGCTTTGAGCCTCTGCCTCACAGGCTGTGGCAAGAGGCCCCTCCCCACACACCAGGTGAGGTGTGGATGTACTGAGGAGGAAAATGGCAGGGCAACAGGAAGCAGGTGACCTGGGCAGACCACAGGCCACTTCCCCACACACCTTCATCCAAATGCCTCCCTGTCTGCATGGTCTGCTGTCCTAAGTAGGCCTCAACTGTCCCTAACCCCAAGAGACCTCAAAGCCTGCTCACCCAGCCCCTGCCTCAAGGAAGGAAGAGTTATTTAGGAAAGGGAAGTCAGCCAACCTCAGGCTGGCAATGTGGACCAGGAGAGCTTAGATGTAGAGAAGGAGTGTGGGGGAAGAAAGACATATGGGACGCTGTGGGTGAAGGCCGGATTGTATGGGGAAGCTGTAGAGGGAGCCTCAAAGTGTGAGACACAGTGTGTGTGTGTGTGTGGCAGGCCTGGGTTTCTCCACAAAACCTCCTCCACCTACCTCTGTGTGTGTGTGTGTGTGTGTGTGTGTGTGTGTGTGTGTGTGTGTGTGGCAGGCCTGGGTTTCTCCACAAAACCTCCTCCATCTACCTCAACCCAGGCCACTCACATCAAGGAACACGGAAGGGATGAGTTCCAACCAGCCTCGGCCCCCCGACAACACCCACCTCCCTCACCCCAGATTCTCACTCTTAATGAAGATTGTCAGCTCCCCCATCCTTATTTCTACCACTTTCATTCCTGGAGTAAAGCAGGTGACAAAGTATGTGCTTCTGTTCACACGTGGCTGCTTTCTGAGTTACCTCAGGCTCGGCACCTGTTAACGTCTGACCTCCTCCCTTATCCTAAAAAGTCAGCTCCCATTTACAAGCCCCCTCTTGCCTTCTGTCCAGTCTGGGGGAACCAGGCACTGGTGAGAGCAGAACTTGAAATACTATAGTTACAACCGTGGGAAAACCCTGTGACAGTGATGGCCAGGTCCCTCTCCACACAAGACTCCATGAGCTATGGTGGTGAAGTGTTAACCTCCAGCAAGAGTGAAGCTTATTCTCTTAGCTACAGCTCCTGCTCCACACAGAAAGGAAGAGAGAGCTTCAGCTCCAACCAGAGCCCTGACAGGGCTTAGACAACGAGGTGCCTCTCCTGGGGAAAGCTGGGGTTTCTCCATAAGACCCCATCTGGTTCTCATCCTTGGATGTCTCCACTCATCAGGCTATATGGACTTGAGTTAGCTTGCAAGGGGAAGGAGAAATTAGTCACGTCCAAGATTAAAGCCAAGAATGAGCAATCAGAACCGGCATGACAGCATGGACAGATGACGAGAGCGCTTTGGGAAAAGGAAGGCCAAAGTGCAAAGAAATCAGAGGTGAAGCACAGCCGTTAGAAGCGATGCCATCTTGGAGTCCCTTGCCTTCTCTAAGCTTATTTTCCTGTCTGTAAAATGGGGACAATGGTTCTCTATATAATGTATCCAGTAAATCACAGAAGCTGTAACATATGAAGTGCTCGATAAGGCCAGGTATGATGGCCACGTCTGTGTGACCCCAGCACTTGAGAGGCAGAGACAGGCAAATCTCTGAGAGTTTCAGGACAGCCTGGTCTACAGAACAAGTTCCAGGCCAGTTAGGGCCACACAGTGAGACCCTTTGATAGATAGATAGATAGATAGATAGATAGATAGATAGATAGATAGATAGATAGACAGACAGACAGACGATACATAAATGATAGATACATATATACATGGATGGAGAGATGGTAGATAGATAGATGGATGGATACGTAATAGATGGTAGATAGATGATAGAGAGATACATATATACATGGATGATAGATGGTACAGAGATAGAAAATAGATGACAGACAGACAGACAGATGATAGATAATGATAGATAGATAGACAGACAGATGATAGATAGATAGATAGATAGATAGATAGATAGATAGATAATGATAGACAGACAGATAGATGATAGAGACATACATACATGCATGGATGATAGATGGTACAGAGATAGATAATAGATGATAGACAGACAGACAGATGATAGATAATGATAGACAGATGATAGATAATGATAGATAGACAGACAGACAGATGATAGATAATGATAGATAGACAGACAGATGATAGATAATGATAGATAGATAGATAGATAGATAGATAGATAGATAGATAGATAGACAGACAGATGATAATGATAGACAGATGGTAGATTAAAAACTAACGCTCAGTAAAATGTTGGTTTCCCAGCTCCTTTAGGTACTGCATCTACTTCCTTTCCTCTATCTTCATTATAAAAGTAGATTTCATTCAGAATACAGAGGAATCCTCTTTGGGTACAGAGGCGGTTCCTCCCCAACACGGGCCTCAGCCAGAAACTAATCCCACAGTGATCCATTTCCTAGGGAGTTCTTGGATCCCTTAGCTTCTCTCTCCCCTCCTCCCTCTTCCTCAGTGAGGTCAGGCCTAGGATCCAATGGCTTCCCTCTCTTCTTCAGGCTCTCATCCTAGCTATTCATTGATGGGCAGAGGAAGGAGGCTCCAAGCCTCCTGCCCCACCCCAGCCCCCAGCTACTGCCCACTCTCCCCTCTCTGGGCCCCACCCTGATTGCCAGGATAGCCCCAGTGCTGCTGATCCCAAGCTTACTTCTCCCAGACCCCATTCCCAGCTGTCTCATCTGTAATTACCAACCTTGCCAGGGGCATCAGACTGGCACCGCAACAGCTCATTTCCAAATGGCCCCACCACTGAAGCCTGTGCCTCCCACTCTGTCCCAAGCAGAGGGGGGAATAAAAGATGAAAAGATCCTGCACACTGTAGTTCTGTCCAGGTCACAGCTGAAGACCAAGCAGGATAGGCAGAGTCCACCTGCACCTCTGCTGTCAAAACCACATGGAGCACAGGATTACCCACCTGCAGAGGGTGGGAGGGTTCAGGTCAACTCAGAGACAGGAGGTTGATTGGAGACAAAGCCGGAAGATGAATTCCCACAGGAAAGAGAGTAGAAGCGCACAGTTGGGAGCTTCAAGGAGAGAAGAGGAAGGAGTAGGTTAAAAAAATTTGAGAGGAGACAATACAATCCCAGTCCCTCTCCCTGAGGCAGTCACTTCTACCGACAAACACCACAGGACATTTTGTCAAGTTCGTTTCTTAGCTAGGGAAACTAGACCAAATCCTCAACTCGTACTTCAAGATCCAGCAGTACCAAACACCCTACAGTCCTTGTTCATGCTCAGCCTCTACCAGCAGGCCCCTCCCTGCTCCCTCCCTGTCTTCTAGTCTTTGAAACTGGCTACAAAGGGCCAGGTGTGATGGCACAGGACTTTAATTCCTGCACCCAGGAACCAGAGAAGCAGGCAGATATCAACGAGTTCCAGGCCAGCCAAAGACAAAAAGCAAGACACTGACGATAGACAGACAGACAGACAGACAGACAGACAGACAGACAGACAGACAGACAGACACGGTCATCTGAGGAATATGTATGTAGTAGAATATTACTAAGCCATAAAAAGGGTGGCGTATACACATGCTGCCACATGAATAAGCCTTGCAAACATACTGAGCAGAGGAAGCCAGACATAAAAAGATGAAATTCAGAGGAAATAGCCAGAACAGGTAACTCCACAGAGACAGAATGCAGGTTGGCCAAGGACTGAACAAGAAGGCAATGGAAATTACAGCTTAATGAATTTGCAGTTCTGTCAGGGCTAGTAAAAACGTTCCGTAGCTAGACAGAAATGGTTGCACAGTATTGTGTGTGTGCACTAAATCCCATTCTCTTTAGTGTTCATTTCATGTTAATTTCTAAAACCCCAGTGGCCAGCACATCTCCTTCAGGAACCTTGCTCAATACTCCACCTCAGAACCAAACTCTAAGCTGCAAGGGCCTCCAGAATATACCTCCATCCGGCACTCAGGGGCTTACGGGGATAGACGTGTTCGAGCACGTTTCCCCCGTGAACAGTGTCTTCTTCACCTTCCATCCCCCGTGCTTCCCACACCTGGCAGAAAGCGGACTGTGCTGAGTGCGATCTGCCAGAGGCGAGCACCAAGTAAGCTCGCTCTACTGCCCTAGTGCCCAGACCTCCATCCCTGACTACACCCGCCATTCACTAAGTCTCGTCCCCTGTCTACTGAGGAACACACTCCTCCTGGGCTATTTCTATTTCGCTTGGTCCTCATAAACCTAAGAACCCCGAGTAACAGGTGAGGCTTACAGAAGTTGTCCGTTTTGTCTGAGGTCACAGAACTAGGATGTGGCAAAGCTGGAAGTTAGAGCGAACTCAACATGGGCGAGAGGGCACGGCGCGGGGAGCGGGACTTGGGACTCCTTGTGGGTGGGTTCAGAGTGGGCTTGGAGGGTGGTGTCTTAAAACACCTGGGAGGCTAAGGACTGAAGCTTAGTTACATGCATTAGGTCACACTGCTCTCAGCACTAAGTGAAACTGTCTGACTCTTCCTTTTGTCCTCATAGTGGAGGAGCCAGCAAAAAAGGAAAGTGGATTCCCTAAGGCTCAGGGGGAGTGAAGGGCCAGGGAAAGCAGGACCTGCCTCCTCAAGTCCTACAAGAAGGTGAGGGAGCATGGGAAGAGACAGAAAGGAAGGCAGCCCGGAGGGAACTAGAGAAAGTAGACAGCAGGACCAAGACAACGGAGAAGTAGGGGCCAATGTGGCCACTGGTTCCCAGCCTGGAAGCACTTGATGAAATGGCACTTCCTATTGTCTAACCACAACTCCTCCTGCTTGGAGGACAACTCCTATGGTAGGGAGCATAAACTGAGCAAATAAGGTATGCCAGAGGACACTTGCCTTAGCCACAAGCCGTTTGCAGGCTTGGGAAAAACCACCTGATAGGCGTCTGGTTTGAAGAAATGGGACACTGGGGGGGGGGGGGGAATCTAGTCTTTTCCTAGTCTGTTCCTCTTCCTAGTCCAACAGTTTCTAAACCTCTCCACTCTTTCCCCAGGCTTTAGGAAGGATAGGGAGCTCTGAGTGCTAAAGATGGAACATTCCAACTGCACATGCCCATTAGAGACCAACCTTCCAGTTGCAATTACCCAGGGACTCTAATGGGCATGTGCGACTACAGCCCCTCTCTTAAAACCTGTGTCTCCGCCTAACTAACCCCTGGAGATGACCACTCCTCTCTTCCCTTCACCCCAAAAGAATGAACAAGAGCAAAGAGGAAAAGGGAGGTAGCTGCTACTTCTCAGGAAAGAAGAGATGTCTTCATGGCCTCTGGCTTCCCACCCACTCTCACGAAGATGAACACAAACCCTTCCCACCATGTGGACATCTGGCCTCTGGCAAGCTCAGAAGCAGCACACACACACAGGAACACAAGCACACGTGTGCATATGAACTCACATTCACACGGGAACACACACACACACACACACACACACTCCATCCAAAGAGTGCTTCTCATCAAGAAACTGCAGGATAAACTACACTAACACACTAGCAAAAACTCCCAGAGAAGCACCCCATGTCTCTCTCAGCCCTGCAGCTCCTCCCAGGTCTCACGCCACTGTGCAAGCTTCTTCTAGCCTCCAGCCCACACGCCTCAGGATCACAGAGGCTGGGCAGAGTTAGAGGGCTCCCAAGTAGCCACCTTCAAGATGGCTTTCCAAGAGAGCTGTGACCTCAGAGAAAGTAACTAGGGCAGAGAAGCCAAGCATGTGGCCTCAAAGAGCACTAGAGTCCATCCTGTAACATCCTGTCACTACTCTTATTTGTGTTCTTGACTCCTTGAATCCCAAAATTTCTCTAGAACTACAGAGCCCCTCCACCTCCCCTGAACCTATTCCCCATTCCCCACAATACACACCGTCTTCCAGAAAAGCCCATCTTTCCAAATAAGCATCACCTAAAACAACGCACTACCCCCCAAATGCACAATCCCCACAAGACACTACCCTTGAACCAAGGCAGAGCCATTCAAATCCTGCAGCCTTCCCTGTGGGCTTTCTGCCAGGAAAATCTGCCTGCAGAGACAAGAGGTACCCCCAAAAACACACTCAAAAATACACGCCCTAGCAAAGGCAGGCACACACACTGACATCTACCCATCAGTACAGGTTACTCACAAGAGCACAGATACACACACACACACATACACACACACACACTCACACACACACACACCACCCATTCTGCTCTTATAAATCCACCTTCTCTAATACCTACCCACCTCTTTCCTATAAGCCCGTCTCAGCACATACACACAGATACACACCCCTTCCCTAGAGTATACACATATACACACAAATACATACCCAAACAGCAGATATATGGTCAGCTGGTGCTCTCTCTCTCCCTCGGGGGGGGGAGAGAAACATCTATACATCCAAACCCAGGGCCCACCTGCAGGAACACGCAGCACGTCAAGGCGTGCGCACACGCGCGCACACACACACACACACACACACACACATAAAAACAAAGAATCATGCATACCGATGCCCCTCCCTATCAACCCTTAAAACTCCCTAATGTAGTGCTCAAGACCTTCGATGAGTAAATAGGACGAGGGAAAGAGATGATGTCTCCCCTACACACCCCGACACACATTCCCCAGTATCACAGCAAGTCCCATCCTTGGGTTACACACACACACACACACACACACACACACACACACACACACTGCTGTCCAGGGCCATCTCTCAGGGATCCACTCTACACCCTGAATATATATCTGTCCTTCCCTCCCCACACTTCAAAGGTGTATATGCATCCCTACATACCTTCAGCTTCCAATACCTCCAGCCTCCAATCCTTCCACGGCCTCTCCCACCACCTCCAACACACGCTTCCCAATCCCAGGCTTCAATGGGCTCCCTTGGGATCGTTCAAGCTCCCGACCCGGGCCCCCGGCCCAGGAAAGTCCCCGGCTCTTAAGGCCTGGGCTCCGCCCCTTCCCCACGCGCCCCTTCCCCTCCCCAAAGTTGAGGGTACTCCGCTGTGCAGTGGAGAACAGACCGGAAGGGGGTTGCCTCAAGCCCCCCTTCCCCCAGAAGCCACCCCGCTTTCTCCAGGGCCGGGCGCTCACTGGTCCTTCGCATGATTTCCTTCTTTTTTCTGCTGCTTTCTTTCTTTCCTTTTTTTTCTTTTCTTTTTTTGCAAACTTTGCCCGCGCCCCCGCGGCCCGCCACTCACCCGCCGCTGCGAACAAGCCGGGTGGACGAGGCGCACGCCCCGCTCCGCTCCGCGCCTTTGTATCCGCAGCGCACCGGGTCGCTCCGAACTCCGCGCTCCAGGACCGGCAGCGCGGCCGATGGGGGCTGTCGAGGGGGGCTCCCGAGGTGGCTCACCCCGGCTCCGTCCCAGACCACTCGCCTCTTTCCCCCTCGAGGCCCCGGGGGCAGGGGGCCGGGGGACTGCAGGGTGCTCAGGCTCCCATGGCGGGACCGAGGACCAAGCAATCGGGGATCAGGAATCAGATCTCGAGCCGGCGGCGGAGGGGGAGGGGACAGAGGGGGAGGGGACCGGAGGGGGCAGGGGGCGGGGAGCGCGCTCCCAGGTGCCGCCTCCCGGCTGTTCCCGCAGCCGCCGCCCCTCCCGCCGCTGCGTCCATTGTCTGCGGCCCGGCTCTTCCCCAAGTCGCGGCACCCCCAGCTCTGCGCCTGGCCATGCCCTGCGCCCTCGGGATCCTGGGAATCCGCTCCGGGTTTGCGAACCTGGCCAGGAAGGTGGGCTTGATGCTGCCTCGGCTCTTGGCTTTGGTCCAGCCCGCAGCCCCTCTTGGAGCCTTCTTTTGCGTCCCCCCCCCCCCCTCCGTTGAAGACCTTTTCCCCTAGGCCCTGATGCAGGCCATAGTGCCTTCTTTGGGACCACAAACCCGGCCACGCAAAATCCAATGGAATCCTCTCCACCCCAGGCCCAGAGCTGAGAAAAGGGTCGTCCCTGATTTTAATTAGTGACAAGAGACAGGCCCCTCTCCTATGTACATAGAATTTCCCTAACACCATCGCCACCACACCCCCCTTCCTCCAAAAAAATAATTTAATTACTCGGTGTTCTAGCTGTGAGCGACGACCGCCTAGTCATACTGGGACGCTAGCTCATTAACACGTTTTCCTCCCCTCTGGTTTGAGTGTTGGGATTAATTACAAAGGGAATCCTGCCCTACGGGAACGGGGGAGGGGGGAAGACGGGCCTGCGACTTTGGGCGGTGGAGGGCAGGGGGCCTCCTCCCAGAAATCCTAGACTGAAAAACGCCTGGGTCGGAGCGGAACTCCTAGCTCTCCACCCTAGGACTTTTGGGTAGTTGAGGGTTGCAGGTTTCAGGGAGTAGTATAGGTTAGCACAAACTATTTGCACATTTAAGGCATTCCCACTTCAGAGCACACTAAGAAACAAATCGGTTAGAGTTCCTAAAGCGGGAAGGAGCCCAACAGGGGTGAGCCCACCATAAAGTGACTGTGGGAAGGCCAGATTGCCCTCGGAGTGAAAGCAAAAGTATCATTACACTGCCGCTAGTATTATTTACCGTGTAACCTGCCACTTACCTAGAACAGTACCGCTTCAAAAGCATCTTCACACGGGTCTCAACACCCCCACCATCTCCACCTTTCAATCCTGATACCTACCCTTCCCAACCCTGTGATTAAGAAAAAAAAAAAAAAAACCAAAAAAAAAAAAAAAAAAAAAAAAAAAAGAAATCCCAGAGAAGGCCACTCCTGGCCTCCATTCCTTTCTGTGATTGGAGTCTTTCCTAAAACTCAGTCTCATCGTCCTAACCGGACCGCACATTGGGGACAGATTGCCTTTGTCTGTGTTATGGCTGTTCAAAGGTGAAGAGTCTAAACAAATGCGTCCCATCCACCTAGCTTTTCCTCAGCCGCTGTACCGCCCTTACCGGTTAGCAAAGAACTTAGCACCAAGACTTCATGAAATAGCCATCACTTCAAGTACCACAGTCTGTGCAAGCACACTGGCCCTCATTCACCTGCTTCTGTCATGTGCTGGCCCTGGGCTGCTCTGAGGTGGTCCCATAACACCAGGAACGGAAGGGAAGGACGTGGGTAGCAGGGGAGCAGGAGATAGGAAAGACATCAGAGCCCCCCCCCGCCCTGTCCGAACACACCTCCAATGCTGAGCACGGTTTATAATTTGACAGTGTTGGGGCTGCCACGTCACTGGCAGGCTCTCTGTTATGTTTAGTGTATATTATATTCACGTTCTGCCAGCTTGCTTCCCAGACCTCAGAAGGCCCCAAAGAATTGGAAACGAGTTTCTGACGTCAGAATTACAAATGATTTTGTAGACTGGCCCCAGCTAAAGCTTGAAATGTAAATCAAGATGTCATGTCAATACATGAGACTTTAGGATTAAAATCTGTTAGGTGTGAGCCTGGAATACACTCAGTTCTTCCTTTTTCTCCTCTGAGGATGAGACATAATTGAGAAATTATGTCTGCAATGAAAATACTGTCTTATAGAGCTTTCCAACATTAAATGCAATTGTTCTAGTGTGTCCTATCCAACAGCTCTCTGAATAACCCTCTTCTCACTCATCCTCAAATCACAGAGTACAAGCCAAGACCCAAAGACAAGGATCATGTATTCAGGTCTTAGCCTAATTCTTTGGGAAGAAAAGCACTGAGGCAAGTAATATCTAACCACAATTTCCCCAAGGAGGACAAGATGCAGAAGCAGAGCTGGGCTGGAAACTAGGGAGGCCAGGAACCTGAAGGACTATGTAGTGGGACAATTGGACTTTGAGTGTGTGTGTGTGTGTGTGTGTGTGTGTGTGTTTGCTTGTTTGTTTGTTCCATTATATAATCCGGTTCTCTTTATGTAGTCAGGCTGGCTTAGGATTTAAAACCCTCCTGTCTCAGCCTCCCAAATACCACCATGTCTACTTTACCATTCTTGGATGTTGAAGGCACAGACAACTTACTGATTTATTCAAACCCTGATTCTATTCATATGAAAGGTACTAATGAGGTAACAGAAAGAGCCCTCTCCATAAACCCACAAGGCCCCAGTGAATTCCCAGTCAAGCTTCCCTTCCCTCCTTGCTCCATGCCTAGGGCACCCCTGGTTCTTTCAGGATTCCTGTTCAGGGAAGGCGATTCCTAGTCCAAAGTCAAGGCCTTCCAGAAAAGCTCTCTTAAGACCTTGCCAACTCATGATCCTGGTTAGTGGGGATGGAGCAAGCAGATGTCCCAGGGGTGACTCAGGGACCCTGGGAGATTTTGTCTTTCAAGAAAGTTTCAAAAAGTGAGAATAGCTTCTCTTCAGGAGGGCAGACCAGGCTATAGAAAAATGCCTGCTTCCTGTGGCAATAAAGCTGTCTGTCCCTGGATATTAGCCCTTGTTCTCATGATAAAGATTAGGTCTTCTGCTTTAATGGAAAGTAGGACTTTTTGTTTGCTTGTTTATTTGTTTGAGACAAGGTTTCTCTGTATTATTTTGGAGGCTGTCCTGGAACTTGCTCTGTAGACCAGGCAGGCCTTGAACTCACAAAGATCCACCTGCCTCTCCCTCCCAAGTGCTGGGATTAAAGGTGTGCGCCACCAACGCCTGGCAGACTTTTTTTTTAACAGTTTTGCTCTTTTAAAAAAAAGTAAAGGTTTATTATTTTTATTTTTATTTTTGTGTATGAGTGTTTTGTCTGCATGTATGCCTGATAATGTGCCTGACACCTAAGGAGGCCAGAAGAAGGTGTCGGATCCTACTAGAGTTATAGGCAGTTATGGGTGGCCATTAAGTGCTGGGAGCACAAAGTGTTTCAATGTGACTGACTAAAGATTTTATGTACTTATCAGGTTTGGTACCCACAGGCCAGATCTCCATCTTCTCACAGTTCTATGGATAAATCTAGGGGTAAGATGGCGCTCCTCCCCGGGCAGTGGTGGCACACGCCTTTAATCCCAGCACTCAGGAGGCAAAGGCAGGCGTATCTCTGTGAGTTCAAGGCCAGGCTGGACCGACAGCCTCCAAAACAATACAGAGAAACCCTGTCTCGACAAACCAAAAAAAAAAAAAAAAAAAAAAAAAAAAGATGGCGCTCCTCCTAGCCCTTGCTCACCTTCCTGGAAGGGCTGTTCTCAGTTCTGACAAAAGTATTTGTAAACCAGAGTGATGACACACTCAGTGTTCCAAAGATAGAAGGACTGGGACATTTCAAGGCTCCCTTGGGCTACATACCAAGTTCCAGGCCAGCTCGAGTTGCTAGCATGACCCCATCTCAGAAAAACAAGGGACTGGGGATATGGCTCAGTGATTGGCACAAACAACATAAGCTCTCTGTTGGACCCAGCATGGGTGTGGGCATGGCTGTTTCTAAACCTTACCTACACTATAGGATTGCTAATTTCTTGTCTGTTAATGAAAAGAAGAAAAGTAACAAATAAGCAAAAACTCTTAACTGGCCAAGACCTCTTCTAATGCTCTAGAGTTGGTGTGAGGTGCCTTTCTCACAAAAGAACTTGATTTCTTTAAGAACAAGGAGTCAGGGCTGGAGAGGTGGCTCAGAGGTTAAGAGCACTGAAAGCTCTTCCAGAGGTCCTGAGTTCAATTCCCAGCAACCACATGGTGGCTCACAACTATCTACAATTCAATCTGGTGCCCTCTTCTGGCAGAACACTGCATATATATGTAATAAATAAATAAATCTTTAAAAAATTACTAATATTAAAAAAAAAGAAAGAGGAGTCAGCTGGAATGTGCCAGGACACACCTCTATCCCCAGTGGATCTCTATGAGTTAGCCTCTCATCTCTACCAGGAGTTAGCCTGGTCTACATAGGGAGTTCCCAGCAAGTCAGGGCTACCTGGTAAAATTCAGGCTCAAACAGGAGGGAAGGTGGAGACTGAACCGTATCATGTCTGGACCTCTGGAGTATAAAAACCACTAGGTTGCTGTCCAGTCTCTTCCTTTCTAACTTCTTTCTTTTCTCCGTCCACCTGTCTCACACTTTTGTGGCTCTACTCACTTAGCCCTTCTTAATTGTCAGTTTCCTCGAATCCAATTCCATTATCACTAATCTAAAAACGTTCCCTACAAATTAAACCAGGGATTCTCAACCTTCATCACAGATTATAATCAATCTCATGTGAAACTCTGAAAGCATAGCAATGCCCAGGACTCGTCCCATACTAATTAAACCAGGAACTTCCAAGGTGTTGTCCAACTATTGGCATTTTCTTTCTTTTTTTTTTTTTTTTTTTGTTACCTTAAGTGATGGTTCCAATGTAAGAATCTCTACTATAACTTTATCTTGGTTACATTTCTGTTCCTGCGATAAAACACCATTACCAAAGCACCTTATAGAAGGGAGGGTTTATTTGACTTACAGTTCTAGAGGGATGAGAGTCCACCGAGGTATAGAAATGGGGCGGAAAACAGCAGACATGGTGGCTGCAGCAGAAGCCAGCGGCTCACATCTGGAACCAAGAGCAGGAAGCCGAGAGAGCAGACCTGAACGGCAGCAGGCTTTAAACTCTTAAAGCGTGCCTC